TGTGTGTGTGTGTGTGTGTGTGTGTGTGTGTGTAAAGTATGTATGCATATACTGGCTGCTATTACTGTTATCAGCCATCATTGTCATTACAATTGCTATTATCATCCCTTTTATCACTATCATTACATTTTATCCTCATAACCATCATCGCGATTGTTATCATAGCTGTAACAAGGCAATCATTATCTTTTCATTACAATTCACGTCGACACTTTTCATTTGTTTTTTGTCTTTGTTTTGTTGTCGTTGTTTTCTTTGTTTATATCATTTATTCATTTCATATTTTGTCATGACATACTCCGTCTCCATTAGATAATAAGCATAATATTAGCCAAACCAATCAAATGAAAGTATATCAGATTTATTGTATTACATGCAGGTCTGTTTCTAGTACATTTTATTTTCATCGTATATTTATATATATCGTTTCATGTAGTTTTGTATTTGCTATATCTACTCTTTATCATTTTCCTGTTCTGATTTATTTATCAAATTTATTTTCATAGCATTTTCTTGGGCAGTGATATAATAAATTGATCAAGGATGTAATAAATAAAGGATGAATATCAGTGATTATTATGGTTAACAACCAAATAGATTTTTTTTAATGATAAAATAATCAATATGATTAGAAGTGATATTTTCATCCATCATTCTCTCTCTCTCTCTCTATCTATCTATCTATCTATCTCTATCTCTCTCTCTCTCTCTCTCTCTATATATATATATATATATATATATATATATATATATATATATATATATATATATATATATATTATATATATATATATATATATATATATATATATATATATATATATATAATATATAAAGATAAAAATTAAACAAATTTCTTTCCTTTTCTTTTTCTTTTCTTTAATATCAAAATTAGCTTTGCGCAATACATCATTTTATTGATGTTACTCTTCTTCATTTTCTCTGTCACATGCATCATCGTTTTATGCTTTTTATGCCTTTCTCTATCTCTGTGGCGTGTAATTACTGAAGCGCCATTCCCTTTTCCGCTTTTTCTCCACTTTTTTTTGTTTTTTTTTTTTGCAGTTTTCTTATTGCTGATTATATATATATATATATATATATATATATATATATATATATATATATATATATATATATATATATATATATATATATATATATATATATATATTATATATATATATATATATATATATATATATATATATATATATTATATATATATATATATATATATATATATATATATATATATATATATATATATATGTACATATAATATATATATTATATATATATATATATATATATATATATATATATATATATATATATATATATATATACATATATATACATATATATATATATATATATATATATATATATATATATATATATATATAATGCATATATATTTGTATAAATATATATTTGTGCATGTGTGTGTGTGCATGTGTCAGAGAGGAAGAGAGAGAGAGAGAGAGAGAGAGAGAGAGAGAGAGAGAGAGAGAGAGAGAGAGAGAGAGAGAGAGAGAGAGAGAGAGAGAGAGACAGACAGACAGACAGACAGAAATAGATTAATATTCACTGGCAAAGAAATAAAACATAATGAGAATTCCTATTTTTATTTTTATAGTAAATATATACAAATATTCACAATATATATATATACAAAATAGGCAGTTTACATGGTTTAAAAATTAATTTACACGATATAAATGTCAGTACAATAAAATTATCAAAATCTCGCATACAAACAGACATGAGGGAATAAATTAATAGTAACAGTAATAATAGTAATGATAATAACAATAATAATAATAAATATATAATAATAATAATAATAATAATAATAATAATAATAATAATAATAATAATATAATAATAATAATAATAATAATAATAATAATAATAATAATAATAATAATAATAATAATAATCATAATAATAATAACAATAACAATAACAAATTAACAAAAGTAATCAAATAACAATGATAAAAAGGATAACCATCATAATCTCAATAATAATCATAATAACAATAACAAAAATCATAATAATATAGGATATGAATAATAATGATAATAACAATAACAGTAACAATAGTAATAATAATCAAAGATAAAAATAGAATAGCATTAATAACCAAATACAAAACAAAATGATAATTAAAAAAAAAAAAAAAAAATTGAAAAACTTCTTCTCAAACTCTTTTTTTTCCACAGTCAAAAACATCCTTTGAGGATTTTTTTTATATATACCCTGTATTTTGGTCGTTCTTGGTGCATCGTTGCCAAGGTTGGCTTCCCGCGTTTGCAACACTGGTGAGGCTCGGGGGGTGGGAGGGAGGGGAGAGGGGAAGGGGGGGGGGAGGAGGCACAGCTTTTGGAAGAATTGTAGTGATGATGATGGTGGTGATGGTGATGGTGGTGAGGATGGTGTTAGTGATGGGGGTGAGGGCGTGGTGCGGGCGGCCCCGTGGGCGGATTTGACA